GTTAAGACTTAAAAAAGGATGTTTAGTTCAATTAAGTTTGGACATTGGGTAGCCTCTTATTAAGAGTACGTGTGTGGTGAGATCGATGATCGGTGGAGTACGTCCTACGTACAGAAGTACATTTTATGTACGAAGTCCTTTTCAAAGCCATGTGTCTTAGGTGCTGCTTGTGCCGGGGTATTATTAAGTTCTCGGGTACGAGTCCTACGCATACCAAAGTACTATAATGTGTCAGAAGTACTATCATGTACAAAGTATTTTTGACACTATTGTGTGTCGGTTACGGGAGCGTACGGGAGTACTCTATTAATATTTCCCCATACTTTTTATTTTGAAAGAGCTTTGGAGTCATTGTTTCTTTTATGAAGTGATCGGGCGAGCTTCATATGTCAGCGTTTCCTTTCACGAAGTAATTGAGGGAACTTCGTAGACTGCCTAATAAAGTGTGTCGGTAATAGACCACTACTAGGTATGTCTGGTATTATATTGCCAGATAGGGTGAGTCTGGGGGTAAAATACCTCACGATATTCAGACCACTGCTAGGCAAAGTTCGATACTGGATAGGGTGAGTCTGGGGGTAAAATACCTCATGGTATTCAGACCACTGCTAGGCAAAGTTCGATGCTGGATAGGGTGAGTATGGGGGTAAAATACCTCACGATATTCGGACCACGACTAGGCATTGTTATCTAGATAACTACCCCTGACTTAATTGTCTTGTGGTTCTTTCTTTTACGAACGAAGGTTAGTGGTGAAACTTATTCCATTCCCCTCATTTGATGTCTTTATTGATCCTCTTTGGCTGCCAGGGAATTTCCGAAGCAGCTTCGTCAGTTTGTTGTTCATATCGATTCCTTAGGCTAGATCTCGTAAGATCATTGTATAGGGTCAGTATGTGGGGATCGACGGGATGGGATAGATTGTTTTAGAAATATGATATATTTGTGTTAATAATAATAGTGGTCTTGCAGGATTTAGATATACATTATTATCACATTGTTGAACTAGGTGTTCATTAAGTATTTTCAAACGGAGTGTTTACCAAGTATTTTGATTTAAGTGTTCACTAGTTGTAATCTAAATATCCTGGCAGCTGCGCCTAAAGGATTATATTGGCAGCTATAGATTTAGTATAGATGTACGTTGGAAGCTATAGATTTAGTATCTTATAGATGTACGTTGGAAGCTATTGATTTAGTGGCTTATAGATGTACGTTGAGAGTATGGATTTAGTATTGTATAGATGAATATTGGTAGCTATGGAATTAGTGTCTGTTGTATAAACCCTGGCGACGATGTACTTCGTGCCTATTTGACATAAATTGCAGAGGAAAGCAATGTTGTCACCCCTTTGGTTGTCTATTCGACATAAATTGATGGGGAAAGCAATGTTGTCACTCCGATAGTTGCCCTATTTTGACATAAATTGCTAAGGAAACCCCGAAGCAGTGTTGTCGCCCCATTGAAAAATCCTTAGACTAGGTCCCTTATAAATAGATACTTTAGGGACGTGAAGTGAGGAATACGGGAACGGGTAATCACCTTAGGAGAATCCTTAGGAATGAATGAATGGAGGACAGATGATTATTAAGATATTTAAGAATAAAGAAGATAATGGGGATGGGAAAATTTGGTTAGTTGTTTGATGTCTAAACATAATAAATTTACTTATTGTGGGTTGAAAACCCTATATGCTCACCAGGCTCCCAAACCTGAACCACTCAGTTTCTTTGTATTACAGGTAGTGGCGCGAGAGCATAAGTTGGACAACTTGTGAAGATATTTTGTTTATAGGCCAGTACTTGTATATAACTGTTGTAAGGCTTATAATGTGTCGTTTATGCTTTTGGTCTGTATCGGAACATGACATCCTGAGTTTTGTTATATATGAAAATCCATTTCTTGAAGAAATGCTTTGATAAATTTTATTTTATCATATTTTGTTTTGGGAACAAATTTCGCAACTCTTTTAATCAAAGGATTACTCTGAAATTATTTTAAAAGCATAAATTAAATCGGTCTTTTCTGGCCGTGAAATTGGGGATGTCACAATGTTAATGATAGAAGAACCAAGATCAAACATAACACTACTAAAAGTAACATCTCCTATCTTCCAAGGAATCGTAAACATTCTGGGGTCTTTGTATTTAGGTGAGAGTTTTCTTTGTAAAACCGTGGATACATTTTCATTAATTGAAATCTTTTCTTTCCCTTTCAATTTTCTTTTATTTGTGCAAAGTTTTTTCAAATTTTTTGCATATCTATGGATTTGTTTGACTACATCAAGCAAGGGAATGTTTACCTCCAGAATTTGGAAGGTGTCCAATATCTCTTTCTCCTCCACATTCTTCTTTCACATTGGAAGTCGGGAGGGGAATGGTGGTTGAGTGACTAATGGAGTGACTAGTGGGGCAATCTTCTTCAGGGCAATAGGTTGTGCATTACCATTGACTATAGGATCTTCAATGAGAGTGATCTCAATCTCTTCCTCATCTTCCCTTGACTTCTTTTTTGAACTACTTTCTCTGGTTTCTTTACCACTTCTCAAGGTCACCACATTGACATTTAGGTTATTTTTCAGTTTGAGAATGTAATTTTCAATGGGACTCTAACTTGCTCAAGGATGTGACTATATCCCCCACTTGTGCTTCAGGGTTGGAGATACTAGTGGTTGTATCTTTTTTGGAATTGTTGGGTGCTAGTGGAAAGATACTTGACTATGTCTTCAAGAGACATTTTGGAGCTGCTAGGTTGAGATTGATGTGGTTGTTGGTGATGATGTGAAGGATGTGGTTTGCATTGATAATGGGGTTGGCGTTGAGGATGTTGGTAATGAGGTTGTTGTGGTGGGTAAGAAGGTCTAACCAATGTATTTTGAGGCAATAGTCTTGGGTTGTAGCTCATATTGGGATTTGGCTTCCAACTCGAATTGTATGCATTTTGACAATCGGATAGATTGTTGTGGTAGCTTTGAAATTCACCAGTGGCATTTACATGCTCCACATCTTTTTGGAGAACGTGACACATATCCATTGGATGTCCCATTGTTTCACAAATTCCACATACCATCACTTGTGGAGTACCACCCATGGCTAGCTTTTGAACAACGAATGTCAAATCCGCAAGCTTGGATTCTAAACTTGATGTCATCACTTCGTTAACTTTTTGACGCATATCCCTCTTCATATCTTGGCGGGGGCCAAAGTGTTGGGAATTTGCAGCTATGGTTTTAAAGAGGTGTCTTGTTTGTTGAAGAGTTTTGATAAAGACATCCCGCATCAATTATTCTTCTCTCTATTGCAATATACCTTCATAGAAGTGTTGGATGAGGAGTTGGTCCGGTATTTGGTGTTGGGGGCAACTCAAACATAATTTATTACACCTCTCCCAATAATCGTGGAATGTTTTGTTTTGAACTTGACAAATTTAACAAATCTCATTTCTAAGACTTGAGACTCTTGAAGCGGGATAGAACATGTCAAGGAAATCTTTTGTCATGTCAGTCCATGAATTGATCGACCCCGGTGGAAGATAAAATAGCCAATATTTTTCTCTATCGGCCAAGAAAAAGGGAATGCCCTTAGTTTGATTTGGTCATAGTTTGACCCTTGTGGCTTCATACTAGTGCACATGATATGGAACATCTTCAAGTGCTTGTGTAGGTCTTCATTCTCTAGTCCGCGGTAGGTTTGAAGGTGATGAATTAAGATTGACTTCAATTTCGAGCCTCCTTCCAAAACAGGATAATTGATATCGGTTGGGGTTTGTGTGACATTGGTTTCTATCATTTGTCTCAAAGTTCTCACGGGGGCTTCGTCTCTCATGGATCTTGGAATTTGGTTAATGACGGGTGGATTGAGTGGTATATATGGGTTATCTGGGATTAGATCGTTGGGTGGTGTTTTGAGGAATCTCTTGGCGAGGGTCGGGACTAGATTTGGGTTCTATTTCGGTTTCAGTGTCACTAGAGGAAGCAGTTTCAACCTCCGGATCCACGTTAGGGTTAGAAGTTTGACCTCGTTCTATTATCCTTTCCTTTGCCAAACACCTCGCTTCTTTTTCAATTTCTGTATTGTAGATTAAAGTACCTGTACGATGAGATCTGGGGCACAGAGAAACAAAATGATTAAAAATAAAACCAATCCCCGATAACGACACCAAATTTGGTAGTTGTCGAGGCCAACAAAAATAAATACCCTAAATATTGCACACAAAGTAGTGTATAATGGTAAATGGATCGTATCCATGAAGATTGTTCAACTTGTTACTTCTATGAAAATCTTGTTGTACAAACACTTGTAAAACTAAAATAAAATAAAATTGGGGGTTTTAATCTCTTGGGTTGTTTAAAAGAAAACTATAATTATACTAAGACTTGAAAATCACAATTCAACAAAAGCAAAGTTCGATGTAAGGGAGAATTTCGTATACGCCCTTCCTAAACAGCTAAATATCGTATTTGCCCGGCCTAAACTTGAAAAATATCATATATGCCATTCTTAATGTTTTTTAATATCATATATACCCAAATCTATTTTTTTGGTAATTTTTATTGATTTATAATTGTTTTTCTTAATATTAAATCATTATAATTAAAAATCATTTTGAATGGACAAAAATACCCTTCCTTATTGCTTCAACAGATCACGTTTTCATTGTATCACAAAATCACGTTCACGTCGACCTGATACTTTCGATCGCTACTCCATGTTCGCTGCTTCCCTGTTCCCTACTTCGATCAATTGCTCCTTCCCCTATTATCCCATATTGTAACTCAACCAATTCCCATATGGTAGAATCATTGGAAGCACCATAGAGAAGATAAAAACAGAAATTAAAAACAAGCAGTTCCATAAATACAGATTTCTGTAAACTTTAATTTCATGGTTTCTTTCTGTATCACATTTTCTTTCTAGAATATATAAGCTTGCTTGATAATTAGCCGATATGAATGACATAATTGACCTTGGACCAGTTAAATTTGGATCATAACCAATAGTCAATTTGGATTGTAGTTTATCTTTGCTTCTTCAAGACCGTTGAATCCTCTGCAAACAGAATATGATATCCAAAGTGAATACAGATTACAAATCCATTATCATTCCTTACAAGAAAATTAATCTAAATATCATCGAATCATAGTTAAAAGTATAGAGCAAACGACAAGGGTTTATCACTAGAATACACATACCCAATCGAGAGACGTCCCTTAGGATCACCGAAGGAGTAACCCTTGAAATAGAAAAACTTAGTAACTGTGTACGCTAATCCCAGAGCTGAACATATAAGTGGGTGTTTAAATCCTCCCAAAACCATCAAAACAAAGAAGATCGGCATAGATTCCATCGAATTCTGATGCCCTCTCTGTAATCAAACAAACAGAACTCAGACACCTCAAAATCCCACAAAAGAATCGAAGAAAAATGATTTATTTTTCACAAATCAGCAAGCAATCTGTACAAACTTGAATACAGTTGAAGAGTTTGTAATCCTTGGTATCTGCTTCAGTGGCGAAGAGTGCTGGGTATGAAACATTGTACCTTCAACATAAAATTTTGTTAAATTTCAAATTAGGGTAACTAGAATAAAAGGGAAAAAGTGTTTGTTTGGAGTTATTACTTCTTTCTAGCTCTGCCGACTTGAATCTGCACAGATTGATGAAATAGTATGCAATGATCGGAAGCAGCTATTGATCGGAAGCAGCGATGGACGCAATGATCGACAATATTAGGGTCGAACGTGATTTTGTGATATAGGTGAAACGCGATCTGTTGTAGCAATAAGGAAGGGTATTATTTTCCATTCAAAATAATTTTTCATTATAATGATTTAATATTAATAAAAACAATTATAAATCTATAAAAATTACCAAAAAATAGATTTGGGTATATATGATATTAAAAAACATTAAGAAGGGCATATATGATATTTCAAGTTTAAGTCGGGCAAATACGATATTTAACTGTTTAGGAAGGGCGTATACGAAATTCTTCCTTGATGTAAAATGAGTGAGAGAAAGATGGTTGACTTAAGGTTTCATCACTTGAACATTTGGTAAATACATCATTAGAATCCAAGGTGCAATACTTGTCATAAATCTCTGATTTGGCCATAGTAATCCAAGAAGCTTGAGATTATCTAGACTTTTCTAGTTATTAAAATAGCTAGAGAAAATCATAACATATTTCCTTAGTTAAAGTTACAATTTCCATTAAGCATGTAATTAGTGAAAATTAACCAACATTAAGAACCAAAAAGTTACCAAATCCAAGAGGAGTCAAAAACTTTCACTACCATGTTGGAGAAAATGTTTTTGTGATTGTGTGAAGTGAAAACTAACATAAGAACCACTTGTTGCTTATTAATTTGAAGATCCATTACTTAATCAATAAATTAGCCAACTAATCACTACATATACATCTAAACTCATGAACAAAGACATATAAGTAGAAAGAAGAAGTTAGGATGTAAAACACTTTCATAAAGATTTAAGAACAAGTTCATGGAGTTCTTCAATATTCAACTAAACATTCAAGCAATTTCAACAAAGTCAACCAAGATTCGTTTAGCGTAACATGACTAAACTCAAGAAACTAAAACAAAAGTAAAATGTACCAAACATGTAGCAAGATTTTTGAGATAAAAGATGATGTTCTTCAAATGCCCCCAAACCTTCAAAATATTGAGAGAAATGTCTTAAAATCGGATGTGCAAAAGTTGAGAAAAGTGGCACACCAACCTTCCTCATATAGCACAAAAGAAAGATTTCCATATTTGCCCCTGTAGGGCCTTGTGTGGTCTGCGTGTTGGTGCACGGGTGGGACATGATTTGGGCCTTTAATGCCTTAGCCCATTGGTCCAAAACGAATCCTATCAACTTGCAGTCCATCATGATCCAAGATTTCTTCAATTTATCCCAATTCACCTTCTCTAAATCATCCATAGCTCGTGCTCTCACTAGAAATTAATCCGCAAGCCCGAATAATTCTTTAGTTTTCTTTCAAGTTCAAGGCCTAAATATTCTTCAATGATCTGTCTATCAACTAGCCCGCTTTACGCATCATCTCCACTAGTCATGAAGCTCATATTTCTTATTGTCCTCCAAGTCCATATGCTTTCCACAAGTCCCGAACATCTCCGTTCCGCTAGTCTTCTCAAAATATGCAATTATCCTAAAAATAACTAGAAAGTATCCGAAATAGTCATAAAATAACAAAAATGAAAATATGCATGATGATTAACTAAATTGTGAATGAAATATACTAAAATAAACTATAAAAGAAGTAAATAAAATGAAACTATCACAACTTCATAAACTTGCTAAATTCTCGTGATTGACCATTTTATCATTCTGGTCAATAATTGACTAAAAGTCAATTTTCTCTAAATTTCTTGTTCTTACACCCGTTCTCTCAAATTTCAACGAACACATAGTAGGTGTGTGTATGGGTTTAAGTTTCTCATCTTCTTGATCTATGCCTCGAATTAGAAATAGTTTCGTTCTTTTTCTTTTTTATATTAATTATTTCCATGACTTTAACCTTCCATGCTAAAACAGGGAAATACTAAAATCCTACGGTGTGCCTTGCACCTGGGTGTTTTTATAGAAAAGTTAAAAATCAAATAAATGGAGGGACTACACACGTAATAAAACATATATGAAGGATTGTATGAGTTAAGAAAACCAAATTACAAACCAAATGCACAAATCACCATAAACTACATGGGTTATTCTTGCAATTTAATCTTATCTTTAAAAAAAATGGTGGACTGGACCGGCTTTACAGAAATTAATGGATCTTGGATCGTACCTATTGAGGCTTACTGGGTCCAGCTCCAGTCTAGATTCGGGTTCCCGGACTTGATCAGACCAAACTGAACTAGACTGGATTGGACCAATCCAGATTGACTCTTGGACTGGACATATTTTTACAGAAATTGGTGTAAATTGGACCGGACTTGTTAAGGCTTACCATGTCCAGATCCATATCCGATTCTCAGTTCGATCCTGTCCGGAGGTTGAAATGCTCACCCCTACTCTAACTGCTTCTATAATATAATATATTGTTTGTAGAACTTTTTCATTAAAAACTTTGAGTGGAAAAACTTATTATATTTATTATTCAAAATATGAAAGTTTTTTAGTTTGTTTATTTTATGTTGTTTTATAAGTTAACTATTTATAATTAATTGAAAAATAGGAGTCGGAAAACATGAGAACTCATCGTAACTATTCAAACGATCTTGTAAATCTAAATTTAAGTAGTCTTTTTTTTTTTTTTAAATCTTTTGATTAAAAAACATTTTACTTTGTAAAAACTCATTCAATATTTTTTTTTCCATTTTTTAAAAGGAATTTGTTGGTTTGTAAAAATTCTATATATTTTGTTTTACTTGGAATATATTAGGCTACAAGGAGCGGGATTTGATGAAGCTCGGCAAATACGAGTTGCCACAAACTCAGCATGCCAAGTTTAGTAGCTTAACTTGGCAAGTAGATACCGATGAGGCGATGAGAGATAAAAAGACTTCAATTCGATGTTGCAATAATGATATTCCTTCTTGCTACACTTTATATTCCAAACTTAAAGCACGAAATACTATATTACACCTCAAATTTATAAAAGTTGAAATTTGATTTATTCTTTTTGATATTTAATACCCTTTATTAATTCAAATAAACCCCTTTTATTTATACAAGTTAAGTTATTATTATACCCAAAAATATAATTTTATTTTATAAAGTTCATAAAATATAATGAAAATCTCCAGAAAAGTCCTAAAATTTTACCCTAATTTACGAAAAAGTCCCAAACTAAATTTTGTTTACGAAAAAGCATGAATTACCGGTAAAAATGACGATTTGACCCATTTTTTCCGGTTTACCGGTTTCATTACTTACATGTTTCATTAAAGTCCCATTATTTTACCCTAATTTACGAATAAGTCCAAAACTAAATTTTAGTGATGATTTGGCCATTTTCTCTATGTAACATACATTTTACCGGTTTCATTGCTGACCTGGACGCCTAGTCATTAAATGAGATGATGAGATGGATATGTTGAGTTATATAATGCTATGTTTAGCATAAAACTTGATATCCTGATGTATTGTATATTTTTTTGAAACATAAAATGCATCAAACGAAGACTATAATAATTACATAAACTTGCAACAACTGCGTTATTTTTTACGTTTATAAGAAATATCAAACTATCTATCTAATCTTATGTAACCCCAATATATCCATCTCATCAGATATCAACTCATTTTCTGCTATTTTTTCCTGGAAACACACATTTTATTGGTTTCATTGTTGACCTAGATACATAGTCATAAATGAGCCGATGAGATGAATATCAAATTTTACATTAAATGTAGCATTATATAACCCATCGTATCAGCTAATTTAATGACTAGGTGTCTAAGTCAAGAATGAAACCGATAAAATATTTGTTACATGAAGAAAATGGTCAAATTATCACTAAATTTTATTTTGGGACTTATTCACAAATTATGGTAAAATAATGGAACTTTAGTGAAACAGGTAAGTAATAAAACCGGTAAACCGGAAAAATGGGTCAAATCGCCATTTTTACCAGTAATTAATGCTTTTCCGTAAACAAATTTTAGTTTGAGACTTTTTCGTAAATTATGATAAAATTTTAGGACTTTTCTGGAGATTTCCTAAATATAATCAACAATTTTTCTTCTTTTAAAAAAAAACTTTTGAAATAGCTTGTCAAATCCTATATGGCGCCTATGTATTATGTGAGATGGATTGAGAAGCCAAAGTTTCTATAAATTATGTTATTAATGATTAGTTAGTATATTTTATCATTAGTTTGGTAGTTTTATTATATGAAATTATCCAGTACTATAATGTTGTATCTTTAAACGACAAGATGAGATTAGTTGCTTGCATCTATAATAATTTTATGGAATAATATATCGTTGTAGTATACATCAGATTCTACATGTATACATCATCAAATGTATTTAGTTCAGATGGCAAGATGCGAGCATTCATAACAGAACAAAACAAATTAATAGTTGAGAGGTTAAAACTATTATAAATCTTATTTATTATTTAACGACATTATTGATTTGTTTGTTATTTTCTATTATTCTATAACAAATTCATGTAAACATATAAAACATATGATCCTTGATAGAGATAATCAAGGTCCAATAACATTTCAAAATTGGGAAATTTGTGTAAGGTCGGGACGTCGGGTTGAGTCGACGTGAAATACTTTTGTCCACATTTATTTTACTTTTGGTATAAATATTTAGTTTATTAAATATGATTATAAAAAATTATTATTACAATAATAATCTATTTCTTTTTCAAAATACAGTAAGAAGTTAGCTGCATTCAAAATAAATTTTGACGGTTTTCAACCTTTTTGACTATTCTCTATATGGATCAGTTCTCTTTTTTATTTTAAACATTATTTTATTTTTGACATATTAAACATAAACCAAAAGCAAATTAACTCTTTCATATATATAAATAGATCAAAAAATTTAACATCTATATAGCTTATCTCCTTTATATAGTTTCTTTATGTGCCAAGCATATACTTCTTTTTGCTACAAGAATATTCCATTTCATAAGTATAAAATCACATTTAAAATTTAGATATTCAAATCATGAGTTGAAACTTCTAAAAACGTTATTCAATCCCTCTTTAAATTCATATGTCTTCTTATGTGTAAGTTAATCATGACCAGATCTTAACATTTGATACAAAGAGGCTTTGAACGATTAGCAGGATTTGGTAGAGGCTGAAGATGTCAAGAGAGAGAGGAGGTGTTGAGATCGATTGACCATTCAGAAGGTAATCAAATGCGAAGGTATGACGTCACAAGTATTTGAGATTAAAACTTATGAAACTGCATGGCTGAAAATTAAGCTTTGAAGATTGTTGGATGATATAGAAAGTTAAAGAAAGAAGAAAAAGATTGAATAGACCCTTGTTTTAAGGATTTATGATTAAACATGTTTATATCTTTCGATTTATTTCTCCTCTGGAAATCAATAAACATGATGGTGTGTTGGATGAAGCTGATGCAAGAAAGACCTCCATGTAAACACTCTTTCTTTCTTTTGAAGGCGTATATTGAGTATTTTATGTAATAAGTTAGAAAGTAGAATAGTGAAAATTTTGCAATATTCAGTATTTTATAAAACATGTATGTAAATAGTAGTATGTTTCATGATAATAACAATAATTTTTTACTAAATTAATTTGAATATTATGATATATGAACACCTACAAATTAACATAAAATCTTTCAATTATTTGAATACTCTTATTTCTTTATTTTTAATAATAAAATAATATTATATTACAAAACTAAAAAACAGAAAAATATAGATATTATTAAATAGCATCTATTGTCATTGTCACTCTCAATATGTATAATATCCGTTTTAAACATTTTTAATTTCTTTTATTATCTTTTAGCTTTTGATTTCATTCACAATTGTATTGAAAATCATAATATTGAATTTTAATGAATGAATAGATTCAACATGTTATTAATATAGATTTTTGACATGAGATATATATTTGGGACTTAAGTGTAGGAAATTTTGGTAAAATAAGTTAAACAACTTTGTAAGGAAATTGTGGTAATTTGAATCCCTTAATGGTATTCTATATGTGGCTTTTATAAGTTCTTTAACTTAGATGGTGTGTGAAAGCATAACAACCACTTGAAGTGAATAAATACCAAGAGTATATGTCTTGACACCTTATTTGTAAATGATTTTGGTATAAACCCATGCTATAAGTATATTTGTTTGTTGTGTGACATTTATAGTATGTTTGTTGGATTTTTATTTTTTTCATAAATGAAGGTTTGTTTAAAACTTGTTTGACCATCCCATTTGTTTATATTATGTTTAGGATGGTTGACTCGATTCCGGGCAC